CCCCCCCCAACTCACGATCCATGTCTAGAGTTGTTCCCAACTCTTGGCCCACTTCTGGTAATATTCCCAATAATGTTTATAATGCCCAAACATTGCATCATGCCTACATATGAGCTCGGTTGCACTGATTCCTAGACCTCATCACTTCTCTACGAGCTGACGTGGCATCTCGAATCCATCCTGTTAAATACGGGATCTAATGGGGGTTCCGAGAGCCTAATTGGATTTAGTTAGCTAATTTTTCCTCCTAGCTGTGTCCATCCTTACAGACGTGCAGAATGCAGTGAGCATCTATGACGTGGTGCTGGGTTCAGTGCCCCGGCGATGGTACAGGGTCCCTGAGTCTGCAGAGCTCTCAATGGGGGATGGCTTGTAGCCAGGCAGGTTGCTAATGGACAGAAGGAGACTCCTGGTTGGCCATTCAAATGGCAGAAGTTTCTTGCCTTCCCCTAATTTACGTCATCAAGACTATGGAGCAGCCCACCTCTGTCCAGTGTATCCCCATTTCTCTAGTATTTCTGCTTCTCCTTTCTGGTTTTCGATTCCAGTTTTCTTTGTTCCTTAATCTTTCTGGAGGATTTTTCATAGAGCTTACTGTGGTTCTGTTACATTGCATAGAGGGATGCCAGTGTGTGTGTTGAGCTGGGGGCAGCATGCTGTCACTGGGATGGAGGGGATTGGAAGTGGGTGGATGCTGGCCAGCCCGGGTCCCTGCTAAGGTGCAGCCTAGGGGCATATCCACCTCTCCCCCCAGCGGTGTCAGCTGCCTTGGCTAGCTCTGTTTGTCACATGTCTGTCAACGTGCAGAAGCCCTGTTTACCTGTTCACGCAGCCATTACTCACCTCTTCCCACGCACCCCCACACTTGCACACAAAGCCTGAGCGTAGCTTACAATTTTTTTTTCTTAAAAGAACCTTCCCCCAAGCCCATTCTAAAATGTCAAGTGTTTCAGTTTTGAGAAGGAAAAAAAAAAAAGAAAGAAAGAAAGCAAGCAAGCTGAAAAAAACATGACTCATGACAAGGCTGACAAACAGATCTGAAGGTATGCTGGTGAGTCACTCTGAGACCCTGGGGGTGAGGGCCAGCAATGGAGACCGGCAGGAGACCAGCCAGTAAAATTCCACTACTCTTTGGAGCAGAGTAGGAGGTAATTCAAAAAGCCTGGGATTTTTCCAGCCCTAATTTCATGCAGGACTCTGGGTACTCTGAGGTATGTTGATTTACCCAAGAAAACAACAAAAATGATTATTAATAATGAAAAAAAAAACCCACCCCACATTATTATCTTTCTTTGCCCAGTGCCATGTTGAACCAGCCTGTCTGCCTCTGCACACTAGCGAGGCTGCTGGATTGTCTTGAAGGGTATTGGGTTGCTAAGCAACAGCGCTGGCAGCATCCATCATGCCCAGCAATGTCAGCCCCTGAGCGTGGCCAACAGAGCACACTGGCGTCCCTCCCCCACACCCTTCCTCAGCCTCCCCACCCCCTATGAAAATGTTAATTTGCATCTTGGGGACAGGAGCTGTGCCAGGTGATCCTGGGTAGAAACGCCTCAGTGCGACGCCTGAAGTGCAAATATTGTTTTTAGCTGCAAGACAGAACGTGTGCGACGTCGCTGCAGATACAGGGCCATTTGTGAAAGCGTTTCATCTTAGCCGTGTGTAGGTGCCATGAAAAGTCGGTGTGTCAAACATGTCCTCCTGTCTTCTGTCTTTTAATCATTGTCTTCCCCCTGTCTGCCCACACGGCATCTTATTTATGCCCCGTTCTCCCTGTCTCCCTCCCTCTCGGTACTGTGGTCTCTTGGCGATGGAGTTATTGTTTGTGTGTAGGGAGAAGAGGAAAGTCTGTTTCTCGAGGTGAGAGGGCCCCGTGGCTTATGGTTGGAGGCCACTCTTTACAAGGCTTTGCGGTGTGTTAATTTTGCTCCCGAAATGCTTGTTTTGGGGAGTGGGTCTCCATCGGCGCACAGCCTGTCTGTACCTTTCACTCCCTGTCAATAGGCAGTCATCGGAGTGAGCTGGTACGAGGCCAGAGGCAGCCCTGTGGCAGACGGGAAGAAACTGGCTTTAGACGGGAGGGACCCAGATCCTTTCTCCTCTCCCCACCCACTCTGGCATGTCTCCAGGGGACTGCATTCTGTGACTTTGCTGAGGAGACACGAACAGATGTCTTTTCACCCCAGATAGGCTCCAATGACAGACGGAAAAAAGAGTCCCCGCGAGTCCAGCTTGGTGAACCCATGGATTTATTGGGGTTAGTTGTAGGAACATGGGGGCTCAAAGGTGGCTGCAGTTCCCGGGCGAAGTCCCTTCTACCAGTGGTGTCAAGTTGACAGCCAAGATCAGCCATCACAGGTGTTTACGATGTCAGCTGGCTCAGGAAGCCTAACACCCCCCCACCCCCACCCCCTGCCCAGGAGAAGCAGGGCAGCCTCCGCACTGGTAACTGGGCTCTACACAAGTGATCTTGGTTAGAGGACTGGCTACAAGCAAGCACTTCTTCGGGCTCCTGGCCCAGGGGCTTTCTTCCTGGCTCATTATGAGATCTGTTGCCTGCCTTCCTTCCTTCCTTCCTTCCTTCGAGTAAATAGGTTTTTGTTTTCTTTTGACTTGGGCTTACAGTTCCAGAAGGACAGAATCCATCATGGTGGGGAAGGCCTACCCCAAGATGTCAAAGCCTTTTTAAAGATCATTTTTTTTTTATTTATGTGTATGTGTGTGTGGCTGGGTAAACGTATGGGTACCATGTGTATGCAGATGCCTGCAGAGGTCAGAGGGCATCTGTTGTCTTGGAACTGGCGTCATTGGCTGTTGCGAGCCACACAATGTGGGCGCTGGGAACTGAAGCCCAGCAAATGTTCTTCACCACTGAGCTGTGGTTGTTTTTTAGTCTTTGGGGGTCTGCCAGCCAGCTCCCAAATAAATCACTCACAGAGGCTGATTTTTTTTTTTTTTTGGTTTTTCAAGACAGGGTTTCTCTGTAGCTTTAGAGCCTGTCCTAGACTAGTTCTGTAGATCAGGCTGGCCTCAAACTCACAGAGATCCACCTGCCTCTGCCTCCCGAGTGCTGGGATTACACCTGGCGAGGCTTATTCTTAATTACGAATACCCTTGGCTTGTTTCAAGCCAGCTTTTCTTAACTTTAAAGTATCCCATTTACCTTTTGCCTTGGGGCTTTTCCTGGTCTCTTACTTCTGTAAATCTTACTCTTACTCCGCGGCTGGCCGTGTAGCTGGGCGGCCCCTGGAGTCCTTCTCTGCCCACTTCCTTTTTCCTCCTCCCAGATTTCTCTTTCTATTTATCCTCTCTGCCTGCCAGCCCCACCCATTTCTCTCTCCTGCCTCACTATTGGCTATTCAGCTCTTTATTAGACCATCAAGTCTTTTAGACAGGCACAGTAACACAGCTTCACAGAGTTGAACAAATGCATAAACAAAAGTAACACACCTTAAAATAATATTTTATAACACTGAGCCATCTTTCCAGCCCCAGGAAAGCCTTTTTATTGAACCACAGAGAAGCAGTCAGCATAAACTACAACCAGTGACGATTGCTTTCTCTATCAGAAATGTGTGACTCTGAAGAAGTTCACATGGGAGCCAAGGGCAGAGAAGGTGGTCTCGCTCCTCCCAAAGCTGCTCTTTCAGCACACCTCAGTCAGTGACCCTTGGCAGCCAAGGTCTCAGCCCTGCTCAGAGCAACCCAGGCCGGATAGAGGTGAGTGACGGATGACAGGGAACTCCAGGCAAAGATGTCAACCTCAAGGTCCCAGAGGCGGGTCCCGAGAGCCGTGGAGTTGGTGTCCCGTCACGGAGCAGGACCACACTGGGCTGTCGTACTCCGGCGACTCTCGGCAGACAGATGCCGAGAGGGAGAGATCATTCCACACCATCCTCCCCTGCCTTTTGGTGACCAGGAAAAGTGCTTCCTCGTCTCCCTCTGCCGTCCTTTTCTTTCCCGTTACAACCCAGCATCTGTAGTCTGCAGAAACAGCGCCCGGCAGAATCTTCGTGTGTAAGTGAGAACACGGAAGGACAGCAGGGCACACTGTGCACTGCACAATCGATAGCACGTTTCTTGAACAATGTGCTCTGGGCGTACAGCCTTTGGGGGGAAGGGCTGAGGTCAAATGACAGGGGACAAAACGTCACACCATCAGGCACACACTGGTGTGGTGGCATTCCCAGGTGAGGTAGGTGTCTGCAGCCTGGCTCTGTCAAAAGGACATCTGCATTTACATGTTGCCGGAGGGCTTCTCTCCAGGTTCCCCAAGCCCCGCAGTCCCATAATCCACATATAAAATAATCACTCAGACGCTTATATCACTTATAAACTGTATGGCCGTGACAGGCTTCTTGCTAACTGTTCTTTTATCTTAAATTAACCCATTTTTATAAATCTATACCTTGCCACGTGGCTGGTGGCTTCCCGGCATCTTCACAAGCTGCTTCTCCTGGCGGTGGCTGCAGTGTCTCTCCCCTCAGCCTTCTGCTTCCCCGAATTCTCCTCTCTCCTTGTCCCACCTACTTCCTGCCTGGCCACCTACTTCCTGCCTGGTCACTGGCCATCAGTGTTTTATTAATATAGAACGATATCCACAGCATTTACAAGCTCACCCAGGAAATCTGAATGGTCTCCAGTTTGGGGACACAATGGACCTTGCTTCACCTAACATTCTAGTGCATGAATTGTGGTTGAACATCAGAGTTCTGTAGGATAAATGTTTAAGAAAAGGGGTCGGATCTAGTATGCACAAGCTCAGATTCAGAGGACATGGCTAAGTAGTTTTCCAGAGTGATTGCCCGTTCGAAACCCTAGTATACGAACATTCCTGTGGCTCCACGTCTTACCCAACATTATTATCTTATCTTTCATATTTTGCATCTAGTAATGGAATTTACAGGCCCATAGGCTCTAGTATGTATTGGAGTGTGTGTGTCAGGCTACCACTGTGGCCACTGAAGAGCTGACTAGGTACCACCCTCTTGCTCACTCCTGCAGTGGCCATTTAAGGGAGATTCATTGCCTTGTTCCACTGAGATGAGCCGAGGACATCATTTCTCTAGTTGTTCAGTGCATCTACCATCATTCTCATTATCTGAAAGCATGGATATAGTGAGGACTGAGCTGTTGTTCCCGAGGGAAGCAGGGCTAGCCCCCGGGAACATTTTCATCAAAGCATCAATATGATTTTGTCTTTGTGTTTCCTATTTGCTTTGTATTATCTATTTATTAACATTAAGCTCACAACTAACAACAGTAACAGGCATTTTCCTCCTAATATCTTCCTGCACTTAGAAACTCATGATACTGGATAGCCCTTCAGCATTTTAAATAGAATTGGGTTCAGTTCATAGCAACACACACACACATGCACATGTACAAGAAGTATTTCCTTGTTTGACCTCAGCTTGAAAAGTTATCTTAGGCAAATCATTTTCCTCCCACTTGTCCACACCTGACAGAGAAAGCACCCTGAATATTGGTTTAGGGATTTCAAATAAATCAATAAGTAGGAAGATCCAAGTATTTGGAATCTGTGAGTAACGCAAACAATAATAGGTCCAGCCTATATTGCTTGCTCCCAGGGTCCGCGGAAGAGTCTACCAACCAGCTGAGGATTCTAATCTGAGGGATATTCAATGAGTCTAAGCACACTGAGTTCTTTAGTCCATTCGCTTTATTCTTCTATGGTGATTCCATCTACACAGTTTCTTTTCTGCTCTCTTACTTAGCTCCTCTCGGTCCCTCCTGCTCTCAGTTCCTTTTGCTGTTCTCTCATCATTCTACCTAGTTCTTTCCATCTCCGTCCTCATCTCTGTTCCTCTCCATCAATCTTCTTCTCCCAGTGCTCTCAGAGAACCATATATGCCCACATAGTAATTCTTTGGCAAAGCAATGTGAGGCTTGAAGTTTTCAGGGTCTCAGAGAGAGGTGATAAGGACCCACACATAAAGCAATAATTGTCAGCTTCCAATTACAACTCAAAAGGGAAGTGACTAAAGGGGAGTTCTCTGGTAGGGTCAACTAAAGGCTAAGA